CCCGCCCCGCCTCGCCTCGCCCCGCTCTCCGGCTCTCCTCTCCCCCTAAGGGCCGTCGCCACTCGCGCCCTCTCAGCGCTCACCCTGCATCTGCCCTGCGCCTACTCGATGTTTGCCCTGCATCCGCCCCGCGCCTGCCGCAATACGATCCCTTTGGCCCTTTTGGAGAGGACGTTTGCCCCCCCCCAGTCCCCGCCTGTATGCGTACCCTTTATCTCCGCCTTTTGGAGTTTACTTCGTTTCCTCATACATTGGATCTTTGTGTATCTTTCAGACATCTGCCCTCCGCCCATTGCGACCTCTATTGCTACTATAACCATCCTTTTTTCAACTGTCCGCTATTGTAATTCCTCTAAATGTTCAACTACTCTGCTTCCCTACATACGTTTTGAATCCTTTATATACCTACTTAAGTTTTGCATCTACTTAAGTTAATAACTTACCTTATAACCGTTGCTCTTTATGTACTCTTTGATCATCCAACACACTCACGCATGTTTCACACTCGTCCTGCATACACTTCACGCAGACTCTGAATCTACGCATGTTCGACACCTGCACGCTAAGCACTTGAACGCACCCGCCACGCACTTGTGCGACAGTGACATCAACCAGCGTCTTCTCCCACGCTTCTCCCCGTCACGTTTATTGAATTGCCTCCGCCCCGCATCGGTGTTAGCCTGCTTAACCGCGCTTACCCATGCTGCCGCTTCTGTCCGCACCGTTGATGTACTCTGACCGAAGGTTTTTGTATTTATATTCTATTGGATTCTGTATGGGGGATAGGTCTAATTCTACTAAATCCATTCCTAAAATACAAATATATTTCGAAAGATTTTCCTGGGTATTCTATTGTGGTGAGTAGAAAAATATTTTTTTCAGGTGAAAATTCGATCTACGGCGTTAGATTCTGGGGGTGACGGTTGCAGTAACTTGTATTTGGCAACCTCAAAAGTCAACTTTTGATTGTTTCTTGATTTCTAAACCTCTGGCCACTCTGTTCATGACTTTCGTCTTTCCTAGGTGTTATTATAAGACCAGAGACTCGCCTCTCTTGTATTTCATTGTATAATGCTCAAGTTTAGTGATTCTATTTAATCCCAAAAGCAAATAATTATTGTTGAATTTTTGAAAAATTTCCGAAGAGCACTTTAAAATTATGCGACTCAATTTTGTAGAAATTTATTACAAAGGATAACGTAATTTATATATTTATTTCAAGTGCAATAATGGAATAAATAAAATATTGAAACTATTCCAAATAAAAGTGAATGATGACAGGATTGTTAGTTATTAATTAATTTAGTAAATATCCATTTTCATATAACTAATTATCATATTAACGTTCTTTATCGTCGTATTTAATAAATTATTTTATGGGATCACACATTCTAATGATCAAAGTGGAGACCGTTACTTATAGAACTTTACCCAAGAAGGTATAGCATGTCTGAAAACTCACCTAATCTTCAATCAGCTCATCTTCCGTTCAACTCGGTCTTTTCTTATATGATTTCAATCATAGAAAATCACATGGGAGTTTCATTGGAACTTTGTGTTTTGATGGACTTTCTTCAGAAGACAGAAACGTGTAAATGTTAGTGTTGTCTCCGCAGAACATATGTGTGCTACGGGTTGCATATACAAAATGATTCCCCAACAGCAATTACTGTCCTGCAGTAGCAAAAATGCAATTGAACGAAACTATAAAATATTCTCATACAACCATGCAATAAATTAAATATTTCAACAAAAACAGTCTTCACGAATGCTGCATAATCTTGTATGCATAAGCACTACTGCAGTTCATTACATATCACGAATATCAAAAAAGTTGCTGTTCCATATTGCAATTCGTGAGTAGAAAATATTTAATGGCAGGCAGACTTCCTGGAGCTTGCTGGCAGATTACATTAGCTAGGTGGTAAGCAGTGACGCACTGGGTATAGGAATTCAGTCGGCACGCACAGAATGAGAGAAGGCGTAATAACACAATCAAATATTTACATTCTTCAGCCAAAATCGAAACTGTTTCATTGTTTTTATATTTTTGCCGAGTTCCTGGGTATCTAACAAAACCGTAGACTTCTCTCACATAGCTAGTCATTGCATAGTTTTCTGTCAATTTCTGCGAGCTTTAGTAATATAATAATAAAAAATATACTTCTCAAGAAGCTTTTAGTTTTAATTTTTTGAGATTACTTTCTAATGTTTACGTCTGAGTAATATCCAGATTACTTTGGTTTAGAGGTAAAATAACTACTTCCGCACACGACTACAATATGTTAATTAATTTTCATACAAAATATATATAAAATTCACTAAACGTATGCATTCTAAGGGGAAAGTTGATTCACCTGGACCTCCTTTAGAACTCTCCTCTAATTTTAGCAAGGCAAAATAACTTTCTTTGACATAACATCGTACTTTGGATTCTGAGAGGTAACTCAATGCAATTGCGCTAATATTTTTCCTCGGTTGTATACGTATACAACCGAGGTTGTATGATGAAAATCTCGTAATGATTTCTCAAGGTCATTCTACGAGGATGGCTCATGACGGATTACTTGAAATGTTGCCTTTAATGTGAAGCTACTTCTCTTAGACCTTCATAGTGTTCATCGCTGTAAAAGAGATGACATGAACATTTTAGTAAAAGAAATTGACTTAAGAAGCAAAACGTAGATGTTAGTGAAAAACTCAAATAAAAATAATATCCAATTTCACGCATTTGAGGACAGGACGTACGACATTACTGAAGACGCTATTAGCATTTTTTTTAAAGAATAAGGAATATTCTATTGTCTCTTTACGATTAACATGACGTCCATTCACCCTTGATTCTTGAAAATCCCTTCGAAGACTGACCTGCCAGAGCGGATGTTCTTGAATTCTTCTTTCTTGAGTGATATTATCTTCACAATAATTCAAAAGCTCTTTGCGAGACAAGACATGTTCCATTTCACCTAGAAATGGTAGAAACCAATCGAAATAATTGAAGAAGAGTAAAGTTTAGAATGTAGAATCAATGCAGCAACATGCGAAAATGCAGTTGTACGTCCAAAATACTTCTATGAAAAATAAGCGTATTGTTATGAATATTTATGGCTATGATAAGCCTATGAATAATTATGAGAATAAAATATGGCCCGAATTATTTAGAGACACCTAAGGAAAGATAAGACATGGATGAGACGGCAAAAAAGGGCTTCCGGGCATCCGAAGGGGGGGGGATAGGAATAGAAAGGGTGTGGCTCACTAACAGTTGGAAACGCTTTTAGAGAAAGATATGAAACAAGGTAAATGAAAAGTAAGTAGATCTTGCGATCAAAATACTTGTTTTGCATCAGAGGCCAGTGTATGAAGGAACGTGTTTGAGGTGGCCGTGAGGGGGGGGGAGGGCGCAGCCGTGGAGGGCCGTGGCGCTGCCGTAGGTGGAGTCTGACATCGAGGCGGAGACTTCGCCCTTCGACGTGAAGTCGCCAACGCGGGAGTCGCCCGCGGCTGCGCCGCGGCGGCGCTGGCGGCGCGGAGGCGCGGCGGCGCGGGGGCAGCTTGGGCAGCAGGAAGGCGGCGGTGGCGGTAGCCGGTGGCGCGGAGGTGGAGAGCGCGGGGGCGGCCAACGGGTCCGCCACGCCGCCCACCGGCGCCACACCACAGTGTCGTGCCCCGCGTCGGCGAGGCGGTGGGTGGCGGCGGCGGAGGAGGGGCGGCGGCGGGGGGGGACGCGCGCGTGCGCTCCTGCAGCGAGAACAAAGGAGGAGCGCGGGCGCGCGCGGGCCAGCGCCTCGCGCGTCGGGCTCGCTGGCGTGAAGCGCGCGTCGCTCGCCATACTCGCCGCTAGTGACGCGCTATTCTCCAGCTGGCGCCCGCGCCGCCCCCTGCCCCTCCCCCTCCCACGCCCAGGGCCTTGCGAGGTTTCACCTCCTGGAGCCCCTTTTGCCCGCGCACTTTTTTTGCCTTGACACACTTGACGCGCAGCACTCGCGACACGTGACGCACCCTCCACCCGGCACACTCATCGCGCACGTACGGGGCCTGTGTTCCCTTCGCGAGACGTTCAGCGCGGCGTTTGGGCTGTACATACTTCTCAACTACTCCAACGAGTGTAGCACACCAGTTTGAACTTTGCACACTGCTGCATTCACATTTTTCATCTTCGATCTCTTACAGAAATCTCCTTCCTTTCTTCTTCCTTACTTTACGTTTTGTCTCCTTCCATTTACAATCACTTCCTTTATTTTTGGCTTCCTTTACATTTAACGTCTGCAAAAGAACATGCTCTCTTCTTAATTTCTGTTTCCCAAAATTAGACAAAACACTTTTTGTTGTTTTCTCCTCTCCAGAGGTGTATGAAAAGAAGAATATGTTGTTATTAAAGTTATTATTATTTTTTGAAATTGCGAATTACGTAATCATAGGTGATATCACGAGTGATTTAGTAATTGTCGATAAATTCCCGACTCGCGAAGCGAGGAGGGGCTTTATCTGAGAATTTCCAAAGCTCGAGTAATATGTAATAGGAATATTCCACGAGTGAAAGTATGTCCAATAGATTTCCAAAATGTGTCAAATATTGAAAATAACAAAAAGCTATGTTAAAATCAAATATGTTATGTTATAGTACACACGCTCTTTATTGGACATCGACATAGCGATCGTTGTACAATACAACCTCCGAAGATATGAGTCATACTAGTTTATGATTGGCCAGTAGGAAAAAGCGGTAAGAAAAATGGGATAGAAAAAAATTAGATATACCGCCCTGATTGGGGCTTTTTGTAAGTATAGTTAAACACTATTGGTTTTGATTTCACGAGTGGAATAGTCTTCATTATTTCTGTTCTTTATAGTTTTCAGTTATATAGTTTAATAAGTACTTATTTTATTTTATTCAACTTAATTCACTCTATGTCTTCTGGATCATACATTTTCAACTTTTCCTTTACTCTTATTTCTTTCTTCCTTTCCCGTATTGTTATTTCATCCTAGTGTCATCCATAAAGGCAAAATAATGTATTTTAATATAGCTTATCTACAGAAAGTGTACAAAAAATTCAACCACTGACATAATCAGAAAATAACAACATGGGTATCTATATAAAATGTGAAATAAGCTACACAAAATATAAAAACACATATTCTTTTCTTTTTAAATATTTTCTTTCCACTTATCTATGTGTGCTTCAATACAACTAATTTATTGTCTAATATCATTTTTTTCCTTTAAAAATGGTCATTTTTGTCATATAACAGGAGTCATGTCATTTAACAATGCCATTTATAATTAAGATATGAATATGGTACAATTAATTTATATACCAATTCTTATTAGTTTCTTACCCCTTAAAGTGTGCATAACTAATTTTCTTGAAAAGTGCACCTGGACAATTTTGCAGTTTGTTTTAATATTATTCCATGTTATTATTTTTTACTAGCATTGAAGTATTTCTTCAATATGAACACATTCTTCATTCACATTACAACATTTTCTGGGAAGAAGTTATTTAAGAAATAAGTATATTCTATTGGCTACTGTGAAACAAAATTGTTGGGGGGTGAGGGAGCAATTGTAAAGGAGACTATACAAACAGTGTCTCATTTGCAAACCTTCTGCTGGAATAAACAAAAAGGTCTACAAAAACATATTTTACCAAAAAATACCTCGAGTAAGTTAATTTTTCCTCTTCATTCACCCTTTAATTATTTGTTACCCCATATTATATTTTTGTAATTCTGTCAATAGTAAAGTGTAGAGAATATAAAATATGTTTTTTTGGAATTATACTAATTGGGAGGGTACATAGTGATATTTTTTGTGCATTGTTTGTTGAATGATCCCCAAAGACAACTTATTAAGATAGTTTTTGATGAATTCAAAGAAATTACTTCTTTCATGACTTTGGCACCCTACTCTCGACTCTCGACATTTATAAAGTATTTGGTAAATCAATACAATTGAATCATTTATTTCAGAAACCCATCAAATGCCATAATACAAAATACATTTTAGCAATGGATTATTGTTCCAGGAGGATAGGCACAATACTTAGTGCATATTTATATGAAAAATATTCATTTATCATTTAATATTATATGAAAAATATTCATTTAATAAAAAAACATTATTTTCAAATCTGGAAAAATGGGAGAGTTATCCTCAATTTTCTCAAAATGAGGAATTTGGCATTTGACGGGTTTCTGAAATAAACGATTCAATTGACATAAAAAAATTAAAATAACTTGTTGAAATAGTACAAAAAATGTATTTTAATACCACTGTCTAAAACTTCATCATCATCATTTTGAACTGCAGGATGAGAGGCCAGAGGCCTGTTCCTGGTTAAGCAGTAGACCTGAACAACTTGTGAAAAACTTAGTCACATTTTATAGCATTTACATTAGGGCAAAGTTTGCTTCATAGGGTCTTATGAATTTCTTAGGTTTAATTGAAGAAGGTCTATTAAACATGCCTTATAAATTTGATCCTATTGTCACAGATGCCTAATAAAATTTAGTTTAACAATAACAAATATCTAATGACATTTGGTTCAATTAACAGTAATGTTGAATCCATTTTGGCCTAACACAATGTTGTCTACAATATCATTAATTCTAAATTGAAATTACAATTTGAAGACAGGTACTTTATTTCACTATTTACATAAAATACTGTATATTAAAAAAATAGTGAAATGATCACTTCAAAGTTTAATTGTGTTATTTTCATTTTGCACAAATCTTATAGTAGATTGGCTTTAGGTAGACTCTAAGGACACATTATAGTTGTTATCAATACCTGTCCCTGTGTCATCAAATTCAATACTTCTTCATTCATCACAGCATTTTCTTCTACTTAAAATGTTTTAAATTTTTCCTAGTTGTATAACAAAATTGGCTCTTATTCACCAATGTAAATCAACTAGTACTTTGCAAACTTCTATATTTATAAATTTGCTATCTGTTTCACAAGTTGCATTACAAGTTCCTCTCTATAAGCACCTCCAATAAATTGTTTTATTAGTTGAATATTGTGTTAGAAAATTACTTATGAAGTCATTGTGAACTACATTTTTTACTGTTACATATTGTAATGAAATATATACTCATTCTAGTTGAAATATTTAATTGGAAATGATGCACTGCTACGGAAATGTTTCTCTTGTTAGAAATGCATTAGACAATTTTGAAATTTGGACTTTTGGTTGTTAATTATTATTTGTTCAACAAGATTTGAAAATGTTGCTACTACGCCTGTAACATTATAAGACTAGTTTCATCAGACCTGTGTACTTAGACATTCTAATATTGAATCTGTATAATCAAAATTTCATTTTTGAATCTCTTAAATTATTGGATTATTATTATTATTATTTATATATTCCATAGTGGACGTCCTGGCAGTGCTGACATTCTAATTTCTTAACAACTGGTTCTCTCCAATGATTTCTAATAACTTCTTATATATTTTTTTATTTCATTAAAAGAGACAGGTCATTAAATGAGGTAATATCCCTGTACAGAAGAGTTTTAAATCAACTACACATACAAGTATTACTGCCTGGTACAGACTGGCAAAGTCATACTTCTTTTTATGATAATGAAACAGAAAGAAACAGTTGAAGAAACATTAGGCTACAAAACACCAAAAAAGGAGAGGGGTTATAAGAGACAAAGTGCAGAAACAAGAAGATTAACAGGACAAATTAAAAGAGATTATTAGCAGAAATTTGTGAAATCTCTGGAGAGAGACATTATAGGCACCCAAAGGGATTGATTTTAAAATCTCTCTTTAAGAATTCTCAGAAGTGACACAAGAGACAATATTGCACAGATCTCATTCCTGTGATGAAATGGGTAGAGGACTGGAAGACATTATGGAATGAAGATGACAGGCTCAAGGTTGGGCAGCACAAAAACTGAAGAACAAGAAATAGTACCACAAGTATTGAAAGAAGTGCTTACAAGAGAACTAATAAAAGCTATGAACAGGAAAAGTCCAGGAGTAAATGAAATTGCCTTAGAATTAATAAAGGAAGGAACTCAAGGACATCATGATATAACTGATCAATAAAGTTGGGAAGTAACTTAAATGCAAAACAATAGCAAACTAGGGTGATAATAAATTTGTACAAGAAAGGATTGAAAAAACAAGACCACAATAACTATAGAGGGATTGTGCTTCTACCATTAGCATGAACATTTTTACCAATATCCTATTAAGAAACAGACTGAAGAAATACAGTAAGACATTCCTTGGAGAGGAACAAAATGAATTTTAAAAAAAGACCACAAAGACACCACACTCACTGCAGAGATGCAATGAACTGAATTTGCCTACTTAACTACTGTTGGCTTTGAAAAGGCCCACAATAGAGTAAATACAGAATTTATGTGGGAATTACTGGAAGAAGGAAAGATACTACCTGCAAAAATAAGAAAAGGAATTCAATATCTCTATACAGACTCACAGATGAGTATAAAAACAAATAATGGAAATTTTTGCAACAGAGGAGTAAGAGAGGGATGCGGCCTGTTATGCCTGTTGATTATTTATGTCAACTATATCATCAAGGAATGGAACCAAAAATTCAAAGAAGGGAATAATTTTCAGTAAAAGATCCAAACCATTTTTTAACATTACCCAGATGTAGTTAAAATAATGGAATGAGATGACAATCTACAAATTGGAGCAAATGAATTGTGTAAAATAGCACGAAAGCATAATATGAAAATTTCCACGAGAAAGACAAAATCAATGGCATATCAAAGATATTAAGAGTCAAAATAGTAATGGGTAAATAACAGCAAAATTTTACAAATTTAATTATTTGTGCAATGTCATTGGGCAGAGATCAAAGGTCATAGAAATAAAAATTCTAAAATTCAATTATTAACAAATTATTAAACAAGTAGACTAGTGAAATTAATTTCGGAAGGGATATGAATCATGAGATTAAATAAAAAATAGAATATAATATTTCAAAACCAATGCAGTGAAACCTGTATTAAGCAACTACGTATGTTGGTAGCATGAAAAAAGTGGTGTTTTAGAGGGGTGGTCTTTTAATAGGAATGTCTTATTTTTTTACAAAAAATGGCCTATTATTATTACACCTTAGATGTTTTGGAAAGTGCCTATTATATCTTGCTTTCATGAAAGGTTTTTAGAATATGAGCATGAATATTGAAAAATAAAACATTTTGACTATTTTATCTTTTTGACATTAATTTTTTTTAGAATTATTTTCCATATATTTAAAAGATTTTTATCTCCTCCCTTTGGGAAAAAATAAAGTTAAAAAATCAATTTCAGTTTTACAACACCCAAGAGCTGTTTATTGATTAAGATCCTCTATGTTCTTCTAGCCTAGACATTTAGACTCAGTATGTCAATGGATTGTGCATGATACCTTCTGTGTCTGGGTTAATCAACACCCCTGACTTCTTACATTAAAATTCTAGTGCATCAGATGTTCTTCCAGGATAGTAAGACAAGGAAGGAATTCAAAGAATTAAACATTACGTCACCTTCATAACCACTGTCTCATTAAAATAAGAGAAGCAAATAACCTTGATATCATATCAGTAGCAACAGTTTATTGTTACTTGATTCCAAGATCCCCTCTGTCCTTATATCTGCGAGAATGAAGCTGCAAGAATGCTTTTTAAGTCATTGATTTTCATTTTAATTTCTGAAAGTTCGGTGTTGTTCTTATAATTTTCCTGAATATGGTCCCTTAAAAGGGGTAAATTAAGAAAATTGCTATTAAAAGGCTGGTCAATGGTCGGGAGGTCTGTGTACAAAGGTTCAATTTGCACACGATACGTGAATTTCAGTGTCCGTTACAAGAAAAATGGGTTATTTAGAGAGGTGGTTGTTTAATAGGAGTGGTCTTTCAAACTTCACTCATGTCCAGATCAGAATTTGGACAATGAAAGGGAGTCACCAAAGACTGGACTAGGAGAGGTGGCTCAGTGCATCAACTGATGTCACTGCAGTGCCTCTCACTGAGAGGTCCTAGGTTTGAGTCACAACAGTAGCAAAGTTTTTGACTCTAGGTTGTCAGGTAGGTTGAATTCAGTTGCTGTCTGGAGGAGAATTCTAGAGGCTGGCTGCTTTAGTTAGCTTTAGGGATAGTTTTCCATGGTTTCTCCGATCAACACCAGGCGAATGCCAGAGCAGTACCCTCACAAACAGGCCATGGTCCACATGTGATCTTTCCTTCCCCTTCCTTGTCCTATCCTCACCCTTTACGCACAATTACACTAATATGCACCACACTACTACACATGCCGGGTGACACGTAGGGAGCTTAGAGCTTGTCCCAGCTGGAGTGGTGCATTGTTAATGGGGGATTCCTTGTTGGGAGAAACTCCACTAGCCGATAGTATGTCGGCACTGGATCTTGCTATCCAGCATGGGAACTACCACCTCCCAAAGAAAAACAAATGTACTAACTCAAGGGACTAATTAACTCCGTAGTTGAGGCACCCAGAATCACTAACAACCAACAAACTAAAGACTGGAAACTATGCAGATGAGATTTCCACGCTACTTTTCATGAGTCATTATGAGAGATCAAAAAAGATATTAGAAAAATCTTAAAACAAATAATGTAATAGAAGAGGTAAAGGAAGATTAGAAGAAATGTTTTTCTCACATTAACAGCATGAAGCAATAAAGATTCTCAAAGATTGCATAAAATTAAAACCCAAAAGGGCCAAAGAGACATTAAGAGACCACAAAAGAAATAGCTAGATTAGGAACACTTGGAGGATTAAAAACCTACCAGGTCTACTGTGAAAAAGGAACAGGCAACACACTTTGCAACCTGAAGTAGATGATGGCGATGATGATGATGATGATGGTGATGATGATGATAAAATAACCATGACATTTTTTGTTATCTTTTTAATTAATAAGTTGTCACACATTCACTGAACATTCTAAATTGTTTTTATATATGCCTGAAAAATATTTATCTGAATTTCAAACATTCTTCTGTTTAAAATAGTTTCAGTTAGATTTTTGTACATTTTCCAATCACAAGGTTTTGCATAATATGATAATATTAGGGGAAGAAAAAGTGGATGATAAATATCTGAATTCCTCTTTCATTATGTGATTGTTCATTAGAGGAAAAATTAATAAAACAGAATGGTGTCAGAAATAGTAATTTTAATTTCTAAATGACTTTAGATTTCTAGATGGTGCATTGATTTATTCCGATTTTTAAAAAAATAGAATAATTTATTATTCCCCTTCAGGAATAACTCTTCCATGTATAAGTATTTTTAACTCTCTTTTTTTATATAATAAATTATAGACAAAAATGTTATTCAAATAATAATATTATATTAACATTTTATATTACATATACATTTTTTATCAGTAGCAAAATTATTAACAATCATTTAAATATATTGATGAATAGTTATAAGCTGTAATTCACAGTAAGTTTACTTTTCAGAGGAAACAAATTAACATGGTATCCTGAGAAAATTGTGAAAAAGATTGTCAGAAAGAGTAAGTAATATTAATTGGATATTAAAAACTAAATAAAATAATTTCTCTTTTGAGTCATATTTTGATTTTCAAATCTTACTTGGTCTTAAAAATATAATTTCTTTCTATATCTGCCTCACTTGGCGTGTGTTTTGCAGGTGTTATGGTGATTTTGTGACCTGGCTAGGTCCAACAGCTGCTTGAGGCTCCATCTACATGACGTGCCATGGCTCCTGGGCAAAGTCACCCGTTAGAGCTCGTCAATTATGACCTGTCGCCAGCCATCATGTGCGACATAGTCTTCCTCACTGCTCTCGCTGCCTGGCTGCTGGTTCTGCTAACTGACAGAAGGGGCAGTTAAACTGGCTGGTGCACGTGCACCATCAGTTAACAAGGGCATGAAAGCAAATGGTCTGATACTTAAGTGCACGTAACAAATATACAGATGTACTTTCTGTACTCATATCAGCCAGGGAATGCCACTACATTCCACTTGCTTGTGCAGTTGGTTTAGACTCTGGTGCATAACACGTTTGTTACTGCGTTCGCGTTCTGTTCTGCACAAAGTGATGTATAGTAGACTGTGTTGTATTGACTGTCATTGTTATGTTTTGTGTACTCCTTGTTGAACAAGTAAGTAGAATTTGTCATTTCACCTCTGTCACCAAAAGAAGCAAATTTCCTAAGTTTCCCTGCTGCATTCTGAGAGGATGTGCTCCCAAGGATGAGCAGGGCTTCGGTCTAATGGCCGCTGCTTTGAAGCAGCAGGACAGAAGTTGCCAGTGCAGGAATTACCCTTGTGTGACAGTGTGTTATATTTGCATATGTTGGGCTGCTAGTTTTTTCTATGTCCTCTAGTGACATAGTGTGTTTGTTCACAAATAATATGGGGACTGTCATTTCACAATTCACTACCTGGTGCAGAGTCAGAGCTATTTATTTTGGCAAGTTGGGCTGTTGAGCAGATGGCTTCTAGGATATTGGCTGTGGGTTAGTCCTCTCTGTGACCTCAGGCACTGCACTGTTATTCAGTGCATGTTTTCTTAGCATTGTAAGTTTAGGATGCTTGAAGTGTCAAATTGGTATGATCGGTTGAAGTAAATTTGTAAGACCTTGCCATAAGACTGAATTCTTGGAAGGTGTTGCAGTAATGTTGATGTTGCGATATATGTGATCAATCAATGACTGAACATACTGGGTAGTTAGAATTGTCAAGTATTGAGTTGGAAAAGTCTTGAATTGCACTGCCTGTAAGACTGCCTGAACAGTAGACACTAATTGCTGTCCTTGAGAATGTCATTCTTCTGTTGAATCTCATTAACACCACAAATTGGAGGTAACCGATTCCTGTACAGTGCAGATGATGGAGGAGTAGAAAGAGGAAATGCTGAGATTACCACTATTATCAAAGATGTAAGCCTCATATCTACACACAACATATTATAATCTCCCTTAATGGCCACAAAGTTTGTATTTAATTACTCAATTAAAAAATTATCTTATATTTGTCAAAGTTCTTTTGACAATAAGTAATGTCCTAAATGAAGACTAAAATTAAATCAATGAATACTATTGGAAATTTAATATTAATATAAACAATTGCTGTTGTTCGAAATTACTTCAATTGCTGTGAAATAAATCTACATTAAGTCATTAATTATTTACACTATATAATGTTACAAGAAAAGTGTGTGTATGTTATCCTCATCCCAAACATAAATGTTATTGTTTTAAAAAAATTAATATGAACTTTAAACTTCAAGATTTAGAACATGTTCCGATCACTTTTAATTTATTCACATCTTCTCTCATAATGTCAGTTAAAAACGAAGGAAGTTAGTTACATATGAATCCTTAAAGGGAAAAAGTACTAATCAGAACTTAGAATTATCAAAAGGCATGGAAGTAATCCACATGCTTGTGGGATCCACATGTGAATCAATAAACATAGAAAGTATATTAAGTCTTATATTTTATCATAATTTACATTCAGAATACTTTAAATAACTTTACATATAGAAGGCTACCATTCATGTTGCACCCTTTTTCTTTATCTCTGCTCAGTATTTGTTTGAATTTCAAAAGTAAATACTATCAATGAATGTGGTCTGTATTTGAAAAGAGTATTTCTGAGGTATCATCAGTATTACCTATTTCTACTTCCCAATTAATTAATAAATTCCTAATTATGCTCCAACAAAGTGATGAACACTCAGGTAGTACTCAGAAGGTTTGTTTTATTCAGTTCAACAGATTTCAAATTTCCAGTTCAGCCTCAGTGATTTTACTGTACTGCAGATATTTGATCTGAATCTAGAATCATATTACATGATCCTATGATTTGGTATTCAGAAAATGTATCTGTGTATTTTTCAGGATGTTGATATTGCTTTGCATATCAAATGCAAAATGTATATGTGTTTATATAATTTGTTTTTAACTTTTTACTATTTGTATTAAGTAAGCATTGTTGTTAACAGATCATATCAGTGATATTTATACATTAGATAGCTTTCATCTGGAAAAGAAAATGTTTTGATGCAAAATTAGACACATTGCAATATTTTGTTAATGTATAAAACTGATATTTGTTGTGTTTACCTACTATATCAAAATAGCCTCATGATTGTTTCTAATTGTAAGATCTGTTTTTTAACTCATATACCAAAAATATACAATTGAATGTTTTTTATTATTATCTGACATGTTTGGTACATATTTTAGTGAAGTAGATTCCAAACATTTTCTTTTTATTTCCACAAATTTTCAATTATTGGATTTTTAAATGATGCCTGTTGAAGCCTAAACTTGGGAGTTTGGCATTAGAAAGAGTGATGTCAATAATCATTTAACATTACATATACCACAAGCCCCATATTGTGATGGTGTGTTCTGTGTGTATAAGTGTATATACGTACAGCAGCCTGTTCCCAACAGATATAGCAATTGTCATTGGTTCACTGATTTTCAGCCATAATGTGTCTTAATCAGCAATACTGAACACTATAGTGAAAGCAAAGTGTAATTCTTGTTATGTGCTAAAACAGCACAGAGATATTTGTGATGAGAACAAAATTAGTTCTTCATGTAGTACTCTTACATGATACATTTAATTTAGATCCATGATACAAAATACCCTGCATATATCATTATTAAAATTCTACTGAAAAGGATGTTTACAATGCTGAAGTATTTTATTTTGATGTTTGCATATTTTAAACTTTTTCCATTTGGTTTGAAATATTTCTGTTGGAAATGGACTGCGGTTTTTACATTTGGAGATTAGTTTTCAGATTCTTTTATATTGATATTTTACTAAAATAAGACATTGTTTTCAATTGTTTGTGACTTATTAATGTTACATACTTTAGTGTTATTTTATATGTTAGCTATTGTACCAAAGACATTGTGTCCAAACCAATATTTGGAGGTTGTGGACCAGTCACTTTGTGATCTTAATTTTAGTATGTAAAGCATTAAATTGTAATGCAACAAATGTTGGCTGCATCTCATCAGTTTCCTGAAAGAATTATTTTGGGATTCATGATTATATTTTACAAAACATGTTCATTAGAATGAATATGCTGAGTAGCATCTATAAACAATATGAAGCATACATCAGGAAATAGGTTGCAGAGGTGCGTTCACATAATGCAATGTAGTCAAATAGTGTAAATGCTTATGTCAAGCCAAAAATCAATATGAGCCATGACTTTCTGTTCCTTGCATTGAAAAATTACTGCAATTAACATTTGTCATAATGACAAAGTGGTTTAAGATTTTGGTGGGCATGAGGTACTTTTTTACTGTCCAAACACATACTCCAACTTAGGAATAGTAACAAACTTAATGTATCACTAAGAGTGATAAATTTAGCATGAATGCACTGTGTTAATTCATGTTAACTAGAAACAAAGAGCAATCACCAGCAACCAGCAGACATGAGCAGTGGTTGGACTGTGGCAAGTTAATATTGCTCAGTTAATATGCAAATTGAAGAATGTAATACAAGTCATTGGTATTCTTTTGATCTTGTTACTGAAGGAAAGCCACAGTGCTCTACTGCACTGTTGGCACTGCTGCTGCTATTGCTGTTTACTGCTGCCACACATAGCTTCTTTTTGCCCCGCCAAAGCTTGTGTGAAGTCATTTCTGCTGTTGGTACCCTAGCCTACTAATTGCAAATCCTATTCTTACATATATGCATATAGTATATGTATATAAATATATACAGTAATTCACATGTATTTTCCATTATAATGTATCAGATAAAAAATGCAAACATATTTTCACTACATATTACTTTTTTGTTTTTAACCCATGCTGGGAAGAAAAAAGTTTAGCTAATGTAGAAGTATATTGCATTACAGAGCACGAATTCTTTTCTACAGTATTGGAAAGTACTCACTGTTTAATACATATTATTACTTGCATACTTTTTCTTACCATGGAATTTGGTGGCCTTGTTTTAGAAATTAAAACAAAGTATTTATAATTGCAATTTTCCTTTGCAAATGATTTTTTGTGCGTGTGAATTTAAAACATCTTCCTCCAAAAATACAAACATCATGTCTATTCATAGATATAAGCATATTTAATTATCTTAATTTAATCTGATATATAAACTATGGCACAAAGAATGTAAATAATTTGCATGCAACATGAAACAAAGTCACCATACTTCCACAAATTTTCAAACACAGTTAATGGAAAATTTGACTGTGAAGACTGTTTGTCATGTCTCAGCAATAGTCTGGATTGAGTATTATTTTGAATGCTTGATTTAGTACATATGTGGTATCTAGTAAATGCAAGTGTATTCACATTTGAGTGCATAAATGCACATTGTAAGTATATGCATGTGTATATGCATATATGTCCAAATTTAATAATATAGGCTGGTTATGTGTGCATGTTCATCTTTAGCTATTATCTGTACATTTTTTTGATCTCAAATGATGACAGATTATTAATCCACTTCCATTTACTTGGAATCCAGCTGAGTAGTTAAAGTGTGTGTATGTGAACATGTATACATGTAATTGGAGAGTCTGGAAATTTTGTTATGTTACACTTTGGAATGTATAGTATCTTGTGCAATATTTGAATGAATATATTATGTTTCAGACAATTTTCTTATTCTTTATTCATTGACAATTTGAAATATTAAAAGATTGAATTTATTGAAATTTTTCTAAATAAAGACTGGATGCTAATTTTTGAATTCCAAAATTACTTTAAAAAATGAGTCAAACTAACATTATTTTTCCTTTTTAGCACAGATTTGATTAAATATATTTCTCGCAGTGTTTGCAATTTCCAGATTTAAAATGTTTCAAAACTGTCTGTAGAATGTAAATAATGTATATATTGCTTAGTGGTTAATTTCTTATGAGGTGCAGTTAAAAAAAGCTTGAATGTCTGGTAAACACACACTGTGCAAATTATCTTGCCTGTCACTATTTTTTAAAAGAAAAAAGTTGTTCATCCTAGAAAAAGAAAAACACCGTCCTTAAATTTTGTAGTGTAAGCAAAGCTTGGTAAGAAAACAATCACTGCAACATGTAAACTCTAAAAAAATGGAAGTATATTCACTGTAAATGTGCTTTTTTCAATTTTTTGCAAAACATGTCTTTGTACACAAGGAGTGTGATGTTCCATTGTGCCCATCACTAACTTCAAACCTAGTTCCAAGGGATTATTTTTTTATACATGATTGGATGATCAAAATTCATTCAATTTGTCCAAGTGCAACCTGTGTAAAATGCGATTCTGCTCAAGCTCAAATAATGGCTATAATGTATTCATTGTTTCATGTCAGTGCACGATGGACATGCAGGATGACACCTGTTTCAATTTTACAACAGTCCAGTTTTTATTTCAAGCTCCAAGGAAATTCAATAGAGCTTGCTGCCTTCGTAGTGATGTAGTATATTTAGTATTCAACCAATACCAATGGTATTTATATAAATAGGCAATGTAGAACTGTCCATTATACAGCTAAATATATCAAAACTGATAAATCACACTTTGCATAAAATATACAAATTACAATGTATCATTGTTTTGTTAATATATAATGAACAGGCTGTTAACATTAGTGCATTGTTTTGTACTAGTTTTTCTGATGAAATGATATCAAGCAAAAGGAATGAAACAAAATTCAGCATTTTTCCAAGGTCTTGTAACATATTTGTTGATGGGAAGATAATAAATTTAAAAAATATAGTATGATAAATTGTGCCAATTAATGTCTACGTGATATATACTTGTTACCTTTATGTACACATGTAGTTAGAAAGCCCACATGTAATGTTCAGTTATTACTATAATTTATCGGTTAAATGTTTTATAACTGTGGACTCCAAAAATGAAAACCAATCCTTACTGATCCTGAGTTTGACTTGATCCATTCTAGTATGAACAGAAAATCCTTCAGGACAAAAAAGAGAATTATTTTAACACTTCATGAAAAATAGATAGGTCTACACATCTTATTCAAATTAATATTTAAATGTTACTTTTGCATGTTCAATGGTAAGCCTATTTGGCAACAATATGAATCAAATTATAACATAGTCACTTTCTCAACAATAAAATAAAACTAAT